GATTAGATATTTTTTAGCTTTATAATGTCACCCCTAATGGCCACAAAAGCCCATGGGCCACCAGTTGATAATCACAGCAAGTTGTTGCGGCTCTGATCATTTTTAATTTAGTGAATGAAGGCACAAAATGGCTCTTATGATCGTAAAGGTTGCAGACCCCTGGCCTATAGAATTAGAAAATCTTGATGATGATTCCACAGGTTTTACCTTCAGGTTTGTGTTACAGGTGCAAACAAATCAGCTCCATCTTATTCTCTTTATTTTATGAAGCTACAATATATTCTTAAATATGTAGTGCATGGTGTCAAGGGGAAATTTGAAATGGTAAATTTTAACACTTTTTTTAATATATGTTTTAACTAATTATGCAAATGTAATGTCTGTGCAGGAATATTTCCTCACAGAGGCAATGAAGTTTACTTAATTTGTCTTAATTGATTTTGTAAATAAATAGCCACTAGAACTTTTTTGATTGTATCATTACTGGGCCTTTCTGGTCTTAGAATCATTTAGTTCTGCGTCCCAATGGTTCTTTACTTTGTGCTTTTAGCTTTTAGCCTTTTGAAAAAGTTAGAAGAAAAAAAAAGCTCAACGGCTTGTGGTTAGCACTGTTGCTGCACAGCAAGAAGATCCTGGGCTCAATATCTGTTTTGGACATGGGGTCTTTCTGTGTGGAATTTGCATGTTCTCCTCATGTTTGCATGGATTTTCTCCGGGTATTCCAGTTTCCCTCCCGTAGTTCAAACATGTTTTTTTAGGTTATCTTCAGGCTAGGGCTCCAGTTTTTCATTCATTCAACCTTTATTTGCAAATAAAGGTTAAATAAAATAAAATAAAAATAAAATAAATATAATAATATTAAATAAAATAAATACATATTTTGCAAACTGCAAAAGAGATCTCAATGAGATTTGCCTGATTATTAACAAAGGTTAATAAATACATTTCAACTTGAGTTAAGTTTTGAAATTTTCTTTATTACACACAAAATTCAATGGGAAAACATAAAAAAAAATCCATATGAGTCTGTTTCCTCTGCACAGTAAATGTGCGTCTGTCACCCTGGACCTCCCTCTGGTTTTTCCTGTCCTGCCAGCCCCGTCTTCTTGTAAATCTGATCCTGTTTTATCGCCACATCCTAAATGACAGGGTACCCATGACTGCTCGTTAGTTCATTACACTTGTTTTAATTGAATCTGAATACATTCCAAATAAAGCTTTTGTGGCTGCAGCGTTCATGCAACGTCTTTCACATTCACTGATGCTGTGTGTTGTGTAACAATACTTTATTTGAGATGGGTTTTTTGCTAAATTTTTCATCTGCAGAGAAAATAATAGTTTCGTGTTGAACTGCTTTCGAGTCTTTTGTCTCTGGAGGCAGATGATGGAGCAGATGTCTTACTTAGTGAGAAGATGATCAAGTGTGTGTGAGTGCAGTCCAGTAAATGTAAAAGACATGAGAGTGTGCGATATTTTCTGAGCAGATATCTCACTTGTGTGGAAGCAAACGTGTGTTTGAGGGTGTGTGTGTGTTGGGTAGGGTGGACTATCAGGCCACACTAAATTAGTTTCCCATCAGCTGTGCTCTTACTCTCGTCCAGGCCCCGTCTCTGCACCGTGTTCCTTCTAACGTTCTCCTAATGGTGGCTCAGGACAGTTTTACTGCACCACTCTGGGGAAACTACAGCAGCCAGATCACAAACACTTGGCTTCATATATGCCTGCAATGTTTTATGGTTATGGATATTATATTTAAGTATAGAAACAGTCACACACACACACAAAAAAGATTCCCACAGCACTATTCCCAGCCGTAATAATTACACCGGCCTGGAAGAGCTACGAGGGGAAAGTTATGTAACGAAGCTCGCACTGATCCTCGGTGACAGATATGGATAACCTGTTGCACTGACGGCTAACTCCAGCACTAAAACACTAATGCTGGAGCTTTTTGTGCACTGAGCTGACACATACACAAAAGAGTTTTTTTATTTTTTATTTTTTTCATTTTGAAGCAGCAAAGATTTTAACCTTATTGCATGCTTTGATTTCTCAAATGTACATGGCCCAAAATAAATAAATAAATAACACAAAGCAGTCAGTGGGCATGTGTCATGTCAAAACCGTTAGCCTTAGCCGTTAGCGGTTCGTGGCTTGTAAAAAAAAACTGAGCAGTTGTGCATCTTTTGCAGTTATGTGCAAAGATAAAACTGTTTGTTTTTAACTGCACATTTATTAGCACCAGCCTTCCATTGTGACATATCTGTGATACTACATCAAAATTTTACTTTCTGGTGATGTTGCTAATTCAACATTGCAAAAAGTAGTTTCTGATATTTCATTAAAGTATTGCGTTTCCTTCAAGAAAGACAAAGTTGCACCACTTGCATCAGTTGCTACTGATTCCTTTCATGTAATCAGTCAATATGCTTTCTGCCTGCTGTATTGCTTGCATGCATTTTTTTATTCTTGTTTTTTGGGCTTAGAGGTTAAATAACAATTATTATCAAACACATCTGAATGCACCTAACTAACCAATGCTTGCCAAAACAAATGTATTCAAGAGAGAAATATGAAAGCATCTTTACATTTTTTTATTCTTCTACCCTCAGCATGAATGTGCATCAGAGGAATTGACTAAAAAGTAAAGGGGAGTTGGCAGCTGTACAACTAAAGCATAAGTTTAGGTAGGTGCACTCAGAGCTTAAAAAGTAACTTTCTTCTTTTATGTATGAAAAGAACTTTTAACATAATACAAATGCTCCTGTATAGCTGTTGTCCTGTTTCTGAGCAAAGATAGGAATTGGAAATAGTTTGTCTGTTCGCCCATTTGGCTGTCTTGTGAATGTGATAACGTGAAAAATCAGAGTTTTCAACTTCCATTTTGGTGTGTGGCTGCATCTAAGAAAGCTCACTAAAGAAAATGTTGTCAAAATCCAAGATGGCCACCTCCAGATATCATATGTATTGTAAACTGGCCACCCCTATTTTTGGAAAAACTATGCTTTCTAGTTTTTTTATTGCTTAAAAGTGTAGTTTCCTCAAATGATGGGAAACTACAACTGATAAATGGTGGGTGGCCAAAGACTGGCCACCTCCTGCCTCTGCCATTGCGTCTAGTGGTGCTATCTACTCACCAGGATCCGTCACTCACCTTCACTTTGGACAAGAGAAAAAATCGTATACACAGTGTAACTCTTAGCCACTTGAACTTGCACCAGAATATTGAGGGTTACTTGCATTCCCTGTTTAAAAAAACTTCTGACATTCACCGTAATGGATCTGTGACAGAACTCAACCGAGCCGGCTGATAAACATTGCACCACCTCAGGACTATGGCCCTGGCTCCTCAAACTCATGCTTTCGCTGGCCTCCCTCCTTGCCCCTCCGCTGGTGTAGCAATCTAGGAGAAGCGAGGGCGTCAATGGCTGTGTTGCTCACCTGGCGACCTGTACTGGGACTAGGGGTTGAACGACTACATAATTTTAAACTCGACATTAACATAATTAAACTCGAGTAGTTGATGACGTCATATCTCAAGACGCAAAAATAAATAAATAAATAAAACCGCAAAAAAACATAATTTATTATTTACAAAAAACAGACCAACAAAACATTGGTATTACCATTTATCATACTGTAAATAAGTCACAGGAAAAACAAAACTATTAGTTATTATTATTAAGCTGTAAATGTGAAAGAAACGTGTGGCACGTCAAAAACGAAACTTAAAAACAGTGGGGCAGTTGACCACACTGCACCACTGCTCACAGTGTTGAGCATTAGGTTTAGTTTTAGAAATTAATATGTTTATAGTTTTTTTTAATAGGTTTACAGATTAATATTTTTTGCTTTTTGTTTGTGAAACAAGGTCAGAGGAAGCTGGTTCTGGTTCGGTCATTGGACCCGGTGTTACACCATATTCTGTGACCTGCAACAGTGCATGCAACACCACCCCCTACGGTCACAACATACAGTGGTCACAGATTATGGTGTAACACTGGTTCGCAAGGAGCTCCAAACAGTCAGGAAGTTGATTCATTTTCTGTTTCCTTACGGTAGTTGAACCTGAAGATTCATCTTTAGTGAAATATTTCCAGACTATTGATGCATTTCTACCTGTTTGCCAAGACTGGGCCTGCGCCGCTCCATACGTCTGCTTGGAAGAATCCATTTTGTAGCCCGTGCCTGATGCGGATCACGTGACAAGTGATGCAATGACGTAACGGCGACGTAATGACGTCACTACGAATACTCGACATGAAATATAAAAACTCGAGAGATGTCATAGGAATCGATGTATCGATTACTTGAGTAGTCTGTTAAAGCCCTAACTGGGACTCCCACCCACTTCACATGCATCCTTTTTCTAATCGAATGAAAAAGGAGCGCGTGCCTCTCAGAGGCTGCCGCCTCAATCACCCCGTCTACCCAAGTCTGTCTGTTATGTGTTTGTTTGTTTGTGGTTCTTTGGATGGGCTGTACTGGAACGTAATTTCATTGCGCTCTGTGCAATGACAATAAAGCTGATTCTGAATAACTCTTTTGAAAGCAACTTGTTGATGTTTTGAACATTTAGCATGAAGACAAATGTATAAAATTTGGTTACACTATTTGCTCTTCTTTTGTCCTAATTTAATTTAATTTGGCAAATTATTTTATGGCTTTTTAAATTATTTTTGATTATAATGGCTGATATTCTTGTCACAAATAAAGATACAAATAAAGAATGTTTTGAATTAAAAAAAAAAATGCTCCTCCCTCTTTACTTTTGAAAGCAGGGGGAATTGACCAGGAAGTGACACTTGGACAGATCTGTGTGTGTTGTATAGACTGTGATGATTTTTGGAAAATCAGTATATCAGATGAGTATTTGTTTTTTATTACTTTTTTATTCGGATTTGTTTACAACAAGAGCTTTGAGCAAATACGACTGCGTTTCAAAGTGAAACTAAAACTGACTGAGTGAGACAAGCAGGAAACAGATAAGAAGAATCAACAAGATGGCTGCAAACGCCCCACAGGCTGAAGCAGACTGCACATGTCCGGTTTGCTGTGATTTATTCACTGATCCTGTCGTGTTGCTGTGCGGTCACAGCTTCTGTAAGTACTGTATTCAGGAGTGGTGGAGACAGAGCAAGCTGAGGACGTGTCCCGTCTGTAAAGAAATATTTCTGATGTCTAAGCCACCTCCAAACATAGCCTTGAAAAACCTGTCTGACTCCCTGAGACGAGAGAGGGAAGGAGCGGCACGACCCGCGGAGCTCTGTCATCTGCACGGTGAGAAACTCAAACTCTTTTGTCTGGAGGACCAACAGCCTGTCTGTTTGGTCTGTCGAGACGCGAAAGCACACAAGAAACACAACTGTGTTCCCATCAGTGAAGCAGCAGAGGAGTACAGAGTGAGTACGACACTGACAGATAAAACCTAAAAGTGTTGTGCTGCAGAAGGTTCACCCTACATGTTGACTTCCAGGCTCAACTTCAGACCAACCTGGTGAACCTGAAAAGTGAACGGGGTTCGTATGAAATGGTAAAAAAGGACTGTGTTAAAATGAAGACTCATATCCAGGTAAGTCTCTGGAGTCGTAGAAACGAACGAAGAAAAGCGACGTGTCATCTGCGCTTATTTTAAAAGTGTTTAATTTATTTTTTCTTCAGTCTCAGGCTCAGCAGACCGAGAGGAGGATCAAAGCTGAGTTTCAGAAGCTTTACCAGTTCCTGCGAGAAGAGGAGGCTGGAAGGATTGATGCATGTCGAAAAGAGGCAACAGTCAAGACAGACGTGATGAAGGTGACGATTATAAACCTGACTGCAGAGATATCTGAACTCTCAAAGAAAATCAAAACAGTCGAAGAAGAGATGAGAACAGGAGACCTTCCATTCATGCTGGTAAACACTGAATCTTCTGTCAAGATTTGCTTAATTATGATCTTTTAACAAAAATGGATGTGTTTTTTTGACATGTTATTGTTTTTTTTATGACAGAACATTAAAACAACTATGAAGAGGTAAGTTTCCTGGACTATTTGCACTAAAATTTCTCCTTTGCACCCCCATCGCAGAGCCAAGAGGGGGAAATGCCAAGTCAAATTTATTTATAAAGCAAATTTAAAACAGCAGCTGTTACCAAAGTGCTTAACACCAAGGCAATAATTAAAGAAAACAAAAAGACGTAATTAAAAGCATCAAAATAAGAACACAAAAACAATGAGAAACAATGAAATACTAAATCAAATCACACTGTGTTAAACATCAGTGAAAACAGGTGTGTTTTTAGGAGAGATTAATTAAAGGCAGGGAGTGAAGTGGCCTGTCTAATGTTGAGGGGCAGATTGTTCCAAAGTTTGGGGCCAATGTCTGAAAAGCCTGATCACTTCTGAGCTTCAGCTTTGTTTTTGTACAATCAAAACAGCTGGTCAGATGATCTCAGCACCCAAGAAGGAACATAAGTTTGAAGTAGATCAGAGAGGTAAATAGGGCAGATAAATCTGACAATCATCAGCATAGCAATGAAACAAACGACCATGTTTCCTCAGGATAGACTCCAAAGGGAGCAGATACAATGAAACCAGAAGAGGTTCAAGAATAGAGCCTTGTGGGACCCTGCAGGAAAGAGGCACTGAAGCAGATAAACTATTACCAACATTAACACAAAAACTCCTGTTGCTCAGAAAAGAACAGAACCATGCTAATGCTACACCAATAATCCAAACCCAGTGTCACAATAAAAGGGTACTGTGGTCAAGCAGTGGAAATGTCCAGGAGTACAAGGATCACAAACTGACTATAGTCATTTACTAAAAGAATGTTGTCACAAACCCTTACCAAGGTTGTTTCGATGCTGTGTAATCTGGTGTGTGGCTGCATCCAGAAAAAGAAAAGTCACCATGAAAAACTGGGTTGCCCTGTTAAAATCAAATTACAGTACTGATCACGTGCACATTAACTTGAAGTTTTCTAGCGAGGCAGCAGAGCTGCTCTTACCTTTAACACAACTATCAGCCTATCAGCTAAAATTCTGAGAAAGTCTGCTTTGTCACAGTTTTTTTTGTTTGTAATTAGCCACTTCTTACAGACCACATGCAGATTTTAACTGCTTCTCTATTTAAACTCAAAAATAAAACCTATATTTTCATGGACTGAATACTTTTATAAAACACGAGAAAACAAATTAATTAATTACATAACAAAACAAAATGTTTAAAGGAAGAGGACCACATATTTGGGGGGGGGGGGGGGTCACTTGTTCTAAAGCCCCCTGTAACTGGTCCTCCACAAAGTACTTGAAGAAAGTAAATGTAAACCGTGTAGTTTTTAAATTTTTTGAGTAAATTTTGAGTCTTTTAATTTCTAGCACAACAGATTTAATTTTGGTTGAGTTTCAAATTATTATTATTATTTTTAATTTTTCTTCGCCTTCTCCACGTTCAGATCTTTGTGTGATCTGCAACAGCCCAAAAATCCAACAGGAGCACTGATCGACGAGGCCAAACACGTCGGGAACCTGCAGTTCTCAGTCCTGAAAAAGATGAAAGACATCATAGAGTACAGTAAGAAATCAATGTTCGATACATATTGTTGATGCTTTGTCTTTAATATGTGCAAGTCTAGATTTTATGAGCACTTAAAAAAAGCCAAGGCGTTTTATGAATACTGCTTTTTCTCTTTTTTTTTTCTTCACAGCTCCGGTAATTTTAGATCCCAACGTCGGCTCCACATCAGTGGTCGTATCAGAGAACTTAACTAGCTTCACAAAAAGTGAAAAGTGTCAACCTTTTCCAGACAGTCCTGAAAGGCTAAGTGGTTTGGAAATTCTTGGATCTGAAGGCTTCAACTCTGGTAAACACAGCTGGGATGTAGAAGTGAGCGGGTACTGGACTGTGGGTGTAGCTGCTAAAACAGATGATAAAGTTTATCAAAGGCAATGGGCCATCTACATGTGCGTCTGCACCGATGTCCTCCGTGAACTTACTCCAAAAAGTTATGAAAAAGAGGTAGCAAATGATTTGTTTCCTCAAAAGGTCAGAGTGCAGCTTGATTACGACCAAGGAATCCTGTCGTTTTTTGACATCGTTCGAAACAGGCCAGTTTATACCAACAAGTACACTTTCACAGAAACAGTCTTTCCCTTGTTTGGGGGAGCCGCAAAACTTTTACCTGCTAAAGTGTCAGTAAGTGTAAAGCAACCCAAAAGTTTTTAAAAAGGCCAATTACAGTAGTCCCTGGTTTATCGCAGGAGTTCGTTCCCAGCCCCAGCTTCGATAAGTGAAAAACCGCAAATTAGGAATAGTACTGCAAGTAGTAGTATTTTTTGTGTGTGTTTATATTTATAAGGTGTTTTAAACCCTTCCGGTACTCTTACAATATTCTAAACAATGTTTCTAAACTCTAAACGCTCTAAAAGAGCGCAGAATGTCATGATCTCCTCTCTCTGCCACGCCCACTTATCCACTGCAATGGATGGCTGGCAGGTGGCAGAGAGCGGAGATCATGACAGGCTGCAGGAGGGAGCTTCTCCCTGCACCTGTGGGCTGCATACAGGTGCAGCAGTTGCTAAATCATTTAAAATAATTCATTTTAAATAAAAATTCCATGCCGCTCGCTCAGTTCGTCCATCAAACAGCCAATCGTGTGTCATGTCCAATCTTACTTTGAAAAACTTTGAAAGTCAAACTGCGAAGTAGCGAGGGACTACTATTTTTTGCCTCTAAACGGCCTTAATTTGCAGAAGAGAAATTTAACCAAACTTTTTAAATTCAACGTTTAAACTTCCTGCTGTTATTAGAACAGTAAAATGTTATACAGCATTATATTGTTATATGTTTAGCATCATGTAAATGTTCGATAAAAATAACCTCTATACCACATATGTCAAACTCAAGGCCCGGGGCATGGACACACACTTTTAGTGTGTGTGCATGCTCAAAGTGTGCAAAAAAAGTGTGCAAAAAATTGTCCACTAGTGTACAAAAAAAGCAACATTTCACCTAGATTTCCTTACTTTAATTCCACACATTTAAAGGATGTTTCTCACCAAGTTTGTGGAAATTCTGCTGTGGGTTTTTAAAGACATTTCAACTTTAATTCACCTTGACACACAGTGTCTTACACTTGCAGTGTCTTACAGTGTCACACACTTTGCTTAGCGCTAAGCTAAGATGCTACAGATGTAGCGTTCCACTTCTCTCAAAGCATCCTAACCATGTGCCAATGATCTTAACCCTCCTGGTCAACAACTGCCCGCACTAAGCTGGCGATCAAGCAACACAGAAGTGTCTCCACCTCCTCCACCTGTGAGCTTCCTGCCAACACAGGAGACGCAGAAGCTATGTTTACATGTGCAAAATTCTTTGATCGGATTGAAATGTATTCGGATAAAATAATCCAAATGTATTGTTTACATGGGCACAGTCCGTTCATGACGAGCATTTACATGCAGCGGGTTTTTATTCAGAATAGAAGTACTGACATGTGCAGAGCAGTAAACTTTCCTTACAAAAAAAAAAACACAGAAGAAGTTCTACTTCCATGATGAGCGTAAACAAACCTGAGCACCCCAAATGGACCCGCTCCAGGTTTTAATGATGGTGGAGACGTTACTGCACTCCCTGACTGAGCTACAGGTAATACAGATCATTTTGAGCTCTTTCAAAGTTTCTAGTAGAAATGTTGTCGCTCACCGATCAGTTTTGCTTCCCTGACATATTAACATTAGCCAGGTGGAAATACGTAAAGTTGACATGATCACATGCAAGTCAGGTCAGTTTTCCACAATCGGAATAAAATGATCAGATTAAGTGTTTACATGCACATCGTTCAGATTATGAATTGGAATAAACCACCCCTCATTAGCTATGTTTACATGTGCAGAATTCTTTGACCGGATTGAAATGTGTTCTGTTTGAATAATTCAAATGTATTGTTTACATGGGCACAATCTGTTCATGACGAGCGTTTACATGCAGCGGGCTTTATTCTGAACAGCAGTACTGACATGCGCAGAGTGGTAAACTCGCCTTAAAAAAAACACCGAAGAAGAAGTTCTACTTCCGGGTGAACGTAAACAAACCTGAGCACCCAAAATGGACCCGCAACAGGTTTTAATGATGGTGGAGACGTTGCTGCACTCCCTGACTGAGCTACATGTAATATAAATCATTTTGAGCTCTTTCAAAGTTTCTAGTAGAAATGTTGTGTCGCTCACCGACCAGTTTTACTTCCCTGACATGCTAATATTATTAGCGTTAGCCAGGCGGAAATGGCAAAGTCGCACATGCGCAGTCAGGTCAGTTTTTCACCATCAGATAAAAACGAACAGATCAAGCGTTTACATGCGCACCTATCGGGTTTCGGATCGGCGTAAACCACCCGCTTCGTTCTGATCACAAATTATATCGGATCGCGCCGAATACACAAAAAATAACCCGAACGGAGTGTTTACATGACACACTTTTATTCCGACCGGCCATTTGATCCGGTTACTTATGTCCATGTAAATGTAGTGAACCAGATAACCTCAAATCTACCAGATGGACAGAGACTGTTATTTTCATTGATCTGAATAAGTCTGAACCATCTGATGAACTTTCTTTCTTGAATTAATCAAGCAGAAAAGACAATTCTTTATAATCATTACTGTCTTACAAATGTTTTGATAATCAAATTGTGTTAGTTCACTCAATGCTTTACAGGTTGAAAAGAACTACTAATTTTTATTTTTACATAAACAGTAAGTAATGATTTTTGTTCCTCATTCAGAGAAGAAATCACCTGAATATGCATTTCTTGATTTTCTGTCTGAAATGAGCAAGCTGTCGTAAGTATGTTAAAGGTTGGTTTTCGGTCAACTAAAATGTTTACCGAGAAAAATGTCATGTTTTACTATTTGAAAAGATTACAAAGTGTGAGACTCCACGAAGTCTGCTGTTGCTGCAATAATCTTTTCTGTATGTTGTAAACAATCCTTGACTTATGATAACATCTTACGTCACAAATCCACTCCTCTTTCTGGTCCTTCCACGAATCAGAAAGCTCTAAATTGAACAGGAAGTCGACCCAAATAAAATGTGGCAACTTCTCAGTTCATAGAGAAGAGAAGGAATAGAGAATTATGGATTCCAGAATTCCAAGAGAATGAGAGTTCTGAGAGATGTTGGAATGAGAGCTGACAACAGGTCCGATAGTCCAACAGAATGAGCAGATTGAGAGTGCAGCCGGTTATGAAGAGTTTGGAGTTATGAAGAACCAGGAACGTTTGGGATTATAATTCTGTTTTGAGCTAATCAACGCACGACTTTCTGAAGGTTTGGTAGCTCTCGACGGAGACGCTGAAACGAGTCAGAAAGGAACTACATCCAACGCTGATTCATCGTCAACAGGTAGATGGTTCTATTTTGACCAAGTGTACCGTGAGAAGCTGAGGATCTGACGAAGCGTGCAATTTCTGGTTAAACAGATTAAACTTCCCTCACACAGTTCTCTGTAAGATAATCTCCTTTCACTCTAAAACCCACCTCTCTCTCATAAATCAGTACAGATATTTTAGAAATATCTTAAGCAAAGTCCTCAAATCACCGCCGAGTGATTTGAAGTTCATTTTCTGTGAAACTGTCTGTTATTATTTTCATATTTTGCCAAATTAATGTAAATGTTTGATGTTAAACTTTGATTCTGAAAATAAATGATTCCATTCATTTGATGGGTCAAAGATAAATGACGTCTCTCGTTCACATTTCTGTTAAATTCAATGCACGACATTTACAGTCAGAAAAATGAAGAACTCGTGAAAAGTATGCATAAATATATATCCATATATTTGTCATACAACAAGTGACACGTACCTCACGTGACTCACTACAAACTGGTGGCCCGTACGGGGATGACTGTTAAATCCGTGTGTAAATTGATTTTACGTGTTGGCATGGTGAAAGAGTAACAGCTGATGAGCTGTAAAGTTTACGCAGCGGCTGAGCTGCGCGCTTGGAGCTGCACTCTGCAACTAAACGCTGCATGTTTAAGCGTTGACCTGGCAATGTTTTAAAAGCTGAAATTGTGTCATAAGTCTTGTGTAAGCTGAAATGGTACGTCTGTTATGTGTAACTAAGAGCTAATGAGCTGTGGAAGACGTTATTCTGTCTAAAAAGTACGAGGTTCTGCTTTAAGACCCGGCTGTGACCAGTTCGGTTCTGTTCAGTTTGAACGAGTATTTTGAACAGATGGATAAACGTTTTAAAAGCTGAGTGCCATCTCAGAACACAGTTAGAAGTTGTTTCGTTACAATTTTTAGCAGAAAAAGTGCATTTTGATGGTTTAAAAGACGAAAAAGTGACGAACTATTTTACGCTAATCTAACTTGCTAGGTAGAGAAAACGCTTCCTGATTGGTTGAATTCGCTGTTGTGGAGCGCTTTCATTGGTTGAAGGTTTGACTGACGTGGCTACGTCACTTCCTCTCACCCTACGCTGCTGCCATTGGTGATTTCAGTCACGTGACCCGGATATGAAATTCATTTTCATAGGGAAATAAAATCTGCTTTTTAAAGCTGAAAAGTAACTTTAATGTGGTTTTGACACGCTGGTCAAGTGCTTCGAAGCCTGCTTGCTGAAATTTTGCTACGTTAGAGTTTAAAATTCGCCAAAAAACGATGTTTTTAAACAAAGCTAGCGATGCTAATTTTAAGCTAACAAGCTAACGACCGGAGCTTAAAACTACGCTTAAAATCACTAAATGAAGCTACTATCAGTCCCAAACACTCATGTTCAAGCTATAAAGTCTGATTGCAAAAACTTTTGCCACTTTTGTGTAAAAAATCCGTTCAGAAATGTTGATTTTGACCGAGTTTAGCCGAAGCTAACTTCAAGCTAAGCGGCTAACAACAGGATGTCAACCGAACGCCACAGGAAGTCATAGCACCCCTAGTGGACAACACAAAAAGTGACGGAGTTATAATTGTTGAGGAAATACTGACATCTCCTGGCGAGACGTGAGATCACAGATTTCACTTCGTTTTTTAGGTAAAGAGTGAAATTAAACGTCTTTTTATTTTTCTGTAAGGCAAATTCTGAGTTAACAAACTTCCTCAAAGCTGAATAAAACACTGTTATCTTACATTTTAAGAAGTAATAGGTATTTATGCAAAGAAGCATTCACCAAAAAGTTTATTTCACTGTTAATCCTTTAAAAATAAGGTACAAAAATAAACATTAACTTTTTAAAACAGATACAGTTACAAATATTCACAGAGTTGA